GCGACTATCCAAAATTTTCACTTCTCCTCCTTGTGTTCTATACAGACGGCCGAAAAATATAAAGGATCATTTAATAAATTCAAAGATAGGTGTGAAACCGCAAATTGGGTGTCACCCTTGCGGAAAAAGCAGATGCAAGGTATGCAAACACATGCAGACAACGACAGTGGCGAAAAGCACCCACTCGGATTTTAAGCACAGGATAAGAGGTGCACTAGACTGTGACTCGGACAACGTCATATACCTCCTGGAATGTGGGGTATGTAACAAGCAATACGTGGGCCAGACAGACACTCCGTTTCGAATTAGATTCATTAACCATCGGGCACATGTACGATCTCTGCCAGGCCTTCCACTTTCAAAACACTGCACATTAAAAGACCACAGCTTTGATGACATCAGGGTTACACTACTAGAAAACAACTTTCGAACAATCAGGGAACGGGAACAACGGTAATCTTATTTTATCTACAAATTTAACACGATAAAATACGGAATAAATGAACTACCAGGCACTCTGTCAGCGTTACGACCGCTAAAAGACGCAAACGCTTCTCTCTAATCAGTCCGGTTTCATTACGACAATAATATTACCCGCTAACAAAGCTTTTGGCCTATGCATCTGACAACATAGAAATGATTTGCCTCATCAAGCACAGCCGGAACGCACAGATAAGTGGTCCCGGATGTCGTACGGTTTCCCCCCCTCCCCTTTTCCTTTTCTTTTTTTTTTGTTCTTCTTTGAGTTTTAACGCACATTCTGTTCCTTCACTGACAAGGAGCTGACAGCTAGGTGGTTTCGTTAACTTTTTCATACTTGCGCGCATGTCTTCCCAGTGAGCCGCAACTGTGTGGTGATTGTCCCGGATGTCGTACAGTCTCCCCCCTGTTCTCATTTTTTTCCCTTCTCTAATTTTTAACGCACATTCTGTTCCTTCACTGACAAGGAGCCATTGCATTAAATGAATATCGATGGCGCGGTGCCTCAATCACTGGCTTTTTCATTCCTCCCGACGCCACCAGCACGCACTCGAAGCACTTAAGCCCTCCCCATTAACTTGTCCTAAACTTCAAATAGTAACGAGCCGCCAGCGGACTGCACGGAAAGGTGAAATACAAAGAACGGCGGCTCACTGCCCACTTGAGGAAGAGTGGGTGCGGGGGAGGTATTGTTGACAATGATGACATTGCTCATCTACCTCTGCCCTACTCTGTTGAGATGCTGCCCCTTTCTAACTACGCCGTGTCGGTCTTGCTTCTTCTCCTAGATTTCTATATTTTATTAATGTTTGTCCTCCCGTTTCGCTGTTTTTCTTTTTTTCTCTCTCTCTCTTTTCTTTCTTTTTCTTTTCTTTTTATACTTTTCTTTTGACCCCTTCCCTCCTGTCTCGACAGGCTATAAGAAGATCACCGGACTATGTAAATAGTATGTGACCTTAGGAAACCATAGGTATAGACTCTCTCTCTCTCTCTCTCTCTCTCCTCTCTCTCTCTCTCTCTCTATATATATATATATATATATATATATATATATATATATATATATATATATATATAATATATATATATATATATATATATATAGAGAGAGAGAGAGAGAGAGAGAGAGAGAGAAAGAGGCTTTTTATAGAGGCTCGATCATCTCAAACCTGCTGTATTAGCGCCGCTTTGGTCCGTACTTCGTGAAGCCCATATTGGCCGGCTTGGACCGGGTGACAAATCAGCCCTACGTCTGCGTGATGGACCTGATAGGCTGTATCGACGGGCCGACCGACTTAGTTGTCTAGGGTATGTGCCAGGAGCATTGCTACGGCATGTGCGAGACGCTCTGGGAACCCGACATGGGGCCTGACGAACTGTTCGAGGCGACCGCGCAGGCACTCATGAATGCCTTCGATAGAGACTCCGCCTCGGGTTGGGGTGGCATTGTGCACATCAGCGAGAAGGATAAGGTCACCACCAAGTACCTCAAGACCAGGATGGACTGAAAAGAACATTGGCGACCGCGCGTCAGAAACCTCTAACTCCATCCTTTGTGTTGGGAATAAATGCACACCCTTTTCTTCTTTTTTCTATACTCCTTCAAAGAAAGGCTGAGTTTTTATCAATTTGTCCGAGTGCAGTTTTCATCATTTGCAGTTGACCCATGTATAATGAACATGCGAGCCCAACCACTGTGTTGCCGGAAAAAGTGAAAAACTTTGAAATATTCGCCAACGTATATTTTTAATCAGGATCTGCTGAGTTGTCACTTCAGTATAATGGTTCATATCATTCGCTTACTAAACAAACCCTTTGCACACTATATTACAGTACGCAAAGTTCATCCACGTTAGCAACTTACTAATGATATGCAGAACGAATTCGGTTGCCATTGTTCTACACTCTGCTTCATAAATCATCTGCAATGCTGTGGAGGCTAGTGAGACTTCTTGTAGTTGTGCGTTTGCCACGGAAAGTAGTTGTGTTCCTACCACCAATAACAGGTTTTTTTGTTTTCATTATTATGGTGAGAAGTAATTGAAGGTGTTTTGTGCCTTACAAACAAAAATGCCTTCAAGCGTCTGTTATTATACAGCTGGTTATCTTAGTTTACACGTGACGTCATATACAGGCTCTCCGTGCTGGTTACATTTTAATAGTGGCCACCTGGGTTGCTTGGGTTGCCCATGCTTCTACAGCATTGCACTTCATGTGTGAAATGTACTTTAGCTAACACTACTCTCCAAGTGACCACTCGCTGGCTGGATTTCCATTTTCATGACATCACAATTGAGCAGCTTAGATGAAATGTTTGAGCATTCTGTCTTAGCTAGTGTGCGCTTGCCTGCTGCACTGCAAAGGTGAAAAAAGGCCGCTGTTTTATAATGCAAACAGGCAGTGACAAGTATCTGCAATAACTCCACGAGACATTGTTCTTATCAAAATCTTCAATTCAGCCCAATATTTTTCGCAAAATTTATAACTGCCCTTGCAGCGAGAGGTACAGTAATCGATAAACTGCACATGGGGATATTATGGGGCGACAGAAAAAGAGTGTATTTACAACATTTGCACGAGCACAGTGATTAAGCATGACAACAAGCAATACTGCTTGTTTTTAGTAACCTGGCGCATGCACCATGGGGGATCAGCCATGGACTGGGTAGCATCTTATTTTAGAGATAAGAATGCTCTACAATTGAAATTTGTTTAGAAATAGATAGTTTAAAAAGTAACTCATTGGTACAGTCCAGGCCTAAAGACTACTAACAAGCCGATAAGGTAGAAAAATAAAGAGACATTATAAACTTAACATTCAGTTTGTTTTGTCTCCCGTAGGAAATTGCATACATCTTCGCAAACGTTCCTGTGGCTAAAACCTATTTCGCCAAAGAGAAGAACCACCAAAACGGATAAATTTGAGCTGGTGACAGGCACCGAGCCATCCTGTCTACTTCTTCGTCCTATAACCACTGATCCACCGCAGCTTACGCGATCAAGATAATAACCAGGCTAAATAGACGTCTGTGAAGTCCTTATTGTCAAGCATATATAACGGCCGATACATGTTAACAACTTCAGTGCCGCGAGGTATCAAAGGAGCGTTGTCATTTTTATTTTTATCTACCCGTCCTAAAATTTGGCGTGGGAGTGTAGTTTCTTGTGCATGCAACGATGATTTGGCTGGGGGCCATCCCATATGTCTGCAAGCCTTTACAGATTGAGTATCTTTGTACTAAGCGCGACACACTCTATAATATTAGGCCATTACCAAAGGCAGCAGGACTAACGAACTTGTTTTTTTTTTTTCGATTGATCCAACATCACTGTTGTAGGTTACAGATTCCAGCTCGTTTAAGGCTACATGAGAAAGTAGGATCGTGGTTTCAGCTTGTTGGTGAAAGTTCATATTCAACGAAAACTTTTTTTTTTGCCGCAAGCTAAAACATCGACGGACATAAAGGAACACAATGAACACGTCCCGCGCGCAGTCACATCTCCTTAAATGTGTTCGGAAAGCATTTTTCTCGTTGTCTAAGAAACGATGTTGGCGCCAGTACAGTTCATCGTGTTCCTTATATAGTGTGCGCAGAAATGTTTCAGTGAAATACGCTACATGTCTCAGCATAAGTCGGCAAACTCTTTTTCGAGTCTTAATGAGCCCGGTGGGTGCAAGCTTGCATGCTGCAAACGCAGCAGTCATGCGCATATGCATGTGCCGTAAAACAAAAGAACGAACTGCTCTTGCAGCACAAAATGCCTTTGGCTTCGTTTTATTGTTCGGCGTCACGTGACGAGTGTGAAGGGACGAAGCAAGTGACTGTTATGCTATACTTACATGACATCTTACGTAATATCAAGATGGTGGGGGCGGGAAACGCTGTGAACTAAAGCTTGTTTTGTTTTTTTCTGTGCCCTGCATTCTGGACAGCATATGTAAGCGCGTTGCGAAGCATGGGGCTCACATGCAATATTGCGCATTCATCGACACATTCAGTAGGCGTGAGACGTGCATCGTCTACAGCGTTCCCTTAACCTGCGCTAAAGAACTTTTTGGGCCACAGGTAAGGTTTTTTAATGATAGGATTTGCGAGCACACCAATTTACTTCCTTTACAGGCATGCATCGAAACCTACCGCGAGCCATTCCAAAACGTGTGGTTCTCAGCAATGTTTTGATGACTGGAAGGGCTTATGCGGGGTGCAGCGCGAAATTATTCAAGCGTTTCAGATCTACAAACTTGGTTCCGATAAGAGTGTCAGCGCACCGTCTGTGTTTCTGAATGACAAGAAGCTCTGGTATCTGAACAGTGATTCCAGCATGTAATGATACGGGGCCTTCTGTGCGACTGCTGTTCGCCCGCGTGCTTACATCGGTTTCTTGTTCACGTTTTGATCGAATAAAGTCAGTTGATAGTCTACCACCCTTCCTGTCCCTGTCTTGTCCCGGTTGCATCTGCTGGTCCACCAAGGCTATATGTACGAACAGGTGGCGGAAAGCGCACACTGCAAGCGTGCCCGCAGGTCATACATAGATGGCGCCACAATTTCCTCTGCAAGTCACGCGGGTTCCTTTTACTAGCCTGTTTTATCTACAGTGTCGTAATCTTCATAAATACCGCGGCAGAAGCATACAGCGCACAACTTATCCTCGTGATGGGACATCGTGTAGTTAGTCTTCCGGCCACGAGCTACGGCGACGACGCCGAGCTGCGCGAGGTGTTTGTCTTGCTCGACCGCGACTGCGACCTGGAACTGAACTTCGACGAGCTGAAGACAGCTGTGCGGGCGCTTGGCCTTGCCGTGAGCGAGGCCGAGATGGAGGAAGTGCGCGAAGAACTCGAGGCGTGCGCAGGGCACACGAACGTCGACTACGTGGGCTTTCTGTCGGTGCTGGCGAAGCTCGAGTTTGGACACCTTCAGCAGCCCGAGCACAGCAGTGAGCAGGAGAGGGAAACGCGCAGGGCGCTTGAGATACTCGACCCTGACGGTGAGTGTTTATACTTTCTTCCGCTTGGTAAAGGCTTGTGTAAAACTATTCAGAGCAGCATTCTAGCCAGGTTCGTGATCCGTTACGATTGAGTATATGACTGTGCAACAGAATGTACACGTACGAAAGACAAAGGGCTGGGTGTGTCTTCGCTTTCGTCTGTGTCTTTTGGAGCGCAACCCTTAAGCGCTGCTCCTGCGTTGAGCGGCATCGGCGTCGTTGTAACGGTAAAGGAGAACGATGACAAAAGAGCGAACGAGGAGCTGAGCGTCTGACGTCGAGACATTGAAGTGAGCGTGCGCGCCCTTTCACGCTCGCAGTCACGTCTTTATTTACTCGCCATATGGTCCTGAATTGCGAACAAGGGCACCAATGTCGAAGAGACGTTGAGCCAAAAAAAGAAGGTTTCGGGATTACTCTGATAAAATCTGGCTGCCATGTGTTATTTTTCTGAAGAAGCGAACCCTTCACCAACAGCGTGTCCCTGTCAAAGTGAGCGCGCCACATATTGAACAAAGAACAGAGCGATCCCTACCGCAGTACCGTACGTGTAGTCTGCTAGCCTTTTCGCAAGCGATAAAAAGGCGTGGCTGCTAGTGCACAATGATGCTCACCGCAGTTATGGCTGGACACCAGACGCTCAACGTCAGGCAGCGCGACGATACAGTTTTATCTTAGTTTTATCTAGGAGCCTACATGACCAATGGCTGCTCTTGTGTCTAGACTTCATTTTGCCGACGGGTGTACCTGCTGTTTGGCTCGCGCCGGTGCATGTCCAATAATGATAGCTTAGCTCACCGTACAGTGCATATCGTTCAGGAATAAAAACGTCAATAGCACGCAGTGCTATAGCTATGATGCCCAATATAGACCATATAGAATACATTTCGTGCTACTGCTTACCTTTTTGAAAATGAAAGACGTGACATTCTCGCAGTTACAGACCACTTAAACGAAACGTTTTCGCCTTCAACAGAATCTTTAGTGGTATTGCGTATCGCAGTTAGTAGCGAAAGTTTCGAAAGTGCTCATGCGATTTCTGATCGCTGCTGAACCGATCAACCATCTTTAGATAGCAGACAAACTGTTACTACGTTAGCGGCATCAGCAGTGGACAGCCTCGTCTCCCGTGGTCCTTTCCTTTCCCCCGTGGCAATGCGGCGAACTCAGACTTGGTCAACACATCCCATGTCTTATCTTTCTTCTCCGCGCGGCTCTTCTTTCTATCTAGAGCCTTTCACGAATTTTCTGTGGGACAATGTGTGCATAAGGACAAATGCGTGTTCCTACCGTAACAATACCGATTGTTGGCCTAGTTGGTACTTGCTTAATGACATGTGTGTTATTTGCGGCCAAAGCATTCATTAAGCGTTCCTGCTGCATTGCATATTTGCCAACATATGATAGCTGCTGACCCGCAGGTCGCGCGATCGGATCCCTGCCGCATTTTCGATGTAGGCGAAAATGCTTGAGGCCCGTGTTGCTTAGATTCGGGTGCGTGTTAAAGAACGCAGGGGATCGATTACGAGAAACACCGTGTACGACATCTCATTATCGTATGGTGACTTCGGTACGTTAACCCCAACAATTATTCACATTTCATGGCCACATTATGTCCATACTGTTGTGACGTCACGAGTTTTCGCGCACTGCAGGCACCGGCTCGGTGAGCGTCCGGGACCTTCGCTGGCTACTGACGACCGTTGGGGAGAAGCTCAGCCCCGAGGAAGTCGACCAGGTTTTGGGCGAGCTGGGACGCAGTGGCGAAGGGGACCACCGCGTGCCCTACAAGGAACTCGTCGACATGCTCTTCAGGGACGGATGATTGACCTCAAAGCTGCATTTCTATGTAGATAGGATGTTTATACTCTTTAATTGGTCTCTCATATAAGGGGTGTAGGTTAATAAACTGGCTTCATTGTTCAGCATGGTGTCTTCGACCGTCATTTTTCGGAAAGGGAACACGTGAGTGAATGACAAACAGCCACGCACTGCACATGTGGCACGGCGCTGTGGCAAAAGACAGAGCGCTGCCATTCTTTCTGTACCGCTTCTTGAAGTTAGAATGCGAGAGCATTGAAGAGCTCGTTTCGCAGGAATTCCGACGTCGGTGGTGTTAGTGGCGTCGTTGGTTGAGAGCGAAATGTTGTCGGAGACTTGTTCATGAACGAAAAAAAAAATGGCAGCATATCCACGCAGTGAATGATGGATAGTGGGGCGAAGCATCCATCCGTCCATTCATTCTTGCTTCCTTCCATCCATGCGTGCGTCTGTGTGGCCGCCCGTGCGCCTGTTCGTGCGTCCGCACGTTCGTCTGTACGTCCGTCCCTGCTTTCATCCATGCATCCGCTCCTGCGTCCGTCCATGCGTTCATCCGTCCGTGCAGCCATCTGTGCGTCCGTCCATGCATCTCTCTGTGTGTCCGTTCGTCCACCTATTCAACACTCCAAGTCCCACCATCTCGCATCTTTTCATCATGTATTCCTCATATAGAAAGAAGCACCACCATCCAGCGGACATTGCAAGGACTGAACGAGAGGAGGCACACGCACACTTTCTTACTGCTTGCGCTTCGTGTCTACTTCCCACCTTTAACCACCTCGAGTTCATGGTATATACTAGTTCACTGTATTCATGGCACTGCGGCCCAACGCTCGCTAAACCTTTCTAAAACCTAGGAGGTTACGCCCAGTGAGTATAATGTAGCAACCCTTTCTTGTCTTCTGAGCGTTGTTGAACAATAAAAAAATTCGCAGCGTGTGCGTTAACTAAAAGCCGAATTCTCCTGTCTCTCATTCCCCCTTAGCAGCCATTGGCATGTACATTGAGCACTATCTTTTATTGTTTAACAACGCACAGAAGAAATCTCTCAACGGCACCACCTTGGAGGTCAAAATGTTATACTTGTTACACACTACTACAACGGCTACGAGGGACGAACGGGTGCCGCTATAAGGAGCTTCGCCCCTAAAAAAACAAAATAATCGCAGCATATCCACGGAGTGAATGATGGTGAGTGGGGCGAAGCGTCTGACAGCCAGTTCGTGATTCCGTTCGTTCTTGCTTCTGTCCGTCTGCGCGACTATCCATGCGTCCGTCTGTACGTCCGTCTTCTAGTATATCTGTCCGTCCGTCAGTCCGCGCGCCCATCTCGTGAACAAGTACCGCCATCTCCCATCTCGCATCTTTTGTGGCACATACCCGCTATAGAGCAGGTATGTGTCACCGGTGGCTATGTACGACAACGGAGGAAGGGCAGACTAAGAAACTTCGCCCCTAAAAGAAAAAAAAGAAAAAGAAATTACCAGGCCTGTGCGCAACGCGCAGCACAGGCACAGCGAAAGCTTGAAGAGCGGCCGTTCAGAGCCCTTTCTAAGCACTGTTTGGGTAATCTGCTACAAGCACGCTCGCTGGGTACCCACTACGTCATAATCATAATTTCTGAGTATTAGGCCGGCGTTCACTATGCTATCCTTGCTCATTCTTCGGAGAAGCGTAGTATCCGCTACACACTTGCAAAAAATTTAGTGCAATTTTTTTATGCAGTGGTAGATGACGATGAAGAATTACGCGTCAGGTGTGTATGCGCCAGAGTTATTAGGGGATCAAGAACGAGTTTTTGTAATGGGTTGAAACATTGGAATACCCAATCGTTACGCAATCCGCATTGTGTGACGCCTGGTTGTTCCTTTAGTGTTCTAAAATGATTTATTGCTCATATTAGCGAGATTCTTTTCCCGACATCAAGCCTGCCCAAGGCAAGTTTAGAGACGAGTTTCCAGCATTGGCATGCTCTGTTGTATAATACCAACCTGACACGCAGGAGACCCACATTCGAATTCCATCATATCCTTAGTGTTTCTTATTCACTTAAGCCTCGCCACGGTGATCTAGTGGCTAAGGTACTCGGCTGCTGACCCCCAGGTCGCGGTATCGAATCCCGGCTGCGGCGGCTGCATTTTCAATGGAGGCGAAATTGCTGCAGTCCCGCGTGTTCAGATTTGGGTGCACGTCAAAGAACCCCAGGTGGTCAAAACTGGCTAACCTCCCTGTCATTCCTCTTTCAATCCTCCTTCCACTAAGGCGTCTCTCATGACCATATGGTGGTTTTGGGACGTTAAATCCCACATATTAATTTTTGTTTATGCGACAGTGATTACGGACACCTGTGGCGGTGGCGGACAATACAGCGCCGCACGTGACCCGTGTTGGGGTCTCATAACGGATTTCACTGTAAAACGAGACTTACCGAACTATTGATTGAGATGCAAATAGAATAAAATTTTTTGGTGCGAGTGAGGATCGAACTCAAGTGATCTGCGAGGCAAGCAGATGTTCCGACAGAGACAATATTTGTTGTAACTGTTTCAGAAAGCACCATCTGAATGTCACGTAGCGGAAGGGATATTCTTAACGAATCACAAAAGCGTATTGAGCAGTGCTCTTTTACAGCCTACATGTTGTTAGAACTGCATTTTATGCGAACTAAACGTTCGGTAGGCACCAGTCATTGTGGGAGTCGATGTCATGCGAAGCAGTAGGCTAGTAGAGGCCTATATAACATTTTTTATAGCTTAAAGCGTTAAATGTCACCGACTTCTTTATGAATTTTGATTAGTTGATGTATACCGTGGACAGGCCCGTGGCGTCATTTTTTTTTTTTTTTTACGGAGGGCTGGGGAGATCTATTTGCTGAAGACCTCAACTACTTGAGAAATCTGCTTTTCGAGGAAGCAACAATTTGCAGGTGGAAGGAGCTCATATGATCTTCTCCTTCTCCACCCACCTGACTACGGTATTGATCGTAGATTCACCAGGCACGTCGACTTCAGTGACGCCGAAAAGTATCCGATGGTACGACCTAACGTTGGTACTAACGTTAGATCACTGATGCCACTTTGATCAAAATTAGGTGCATGTTGCTGTGCGTCGGTGTGCTTATAATGTGATGTGCGTTGATAAGAAATGGTCATATGAGTTAATATGTAGCCTGATGTTCCTTACATTGTTACAGAAGCCGATAGCGTACACTGCAACCACAGTTCGCGTTGCCACGATACGGGAACATTATAAGACCTTTTTTCCTAAGGTAGAATACTTGACGCAGAATTCCCGGTCTCGATTCCGTCTCTCACCGCGATTTCATGACGGTAAAAACCCGTCAGAAATTATCCATCTATTAAATATGGGAAACACGCTCTTTCAAATGGTAGCTTTATATGACTCTTTTTACCCCCCCCCCTCCCCCTCCCTGCACTTCAGCCTTCTGTCCTGGTTTTTGCAGGTCCAAATTTTGTGAATGCGGGCTGAGGTGAGCTTGAGAACCCTGTTCTGACTTTCCTGCTGTAAAACTGCGCTTACGCGTCACCTTGACAGCTTGTAAAAGAGATTCTGTCGGCTTAGCCAACAGTGGGAAAGAGTACTTGATGATGAAAAGTTGCTCCGAAATTTCTCAATTTTGCATGCGCTATATGCAAACGCAAGCGCGAACATACGTGAAATATGGTTGGACCTTTCCTTCTGAAAAAAAAATCTGGCTATGCTCATGTTGCGTATTTTTATTGGCCTGCTGAGCGTAACTATAATATTTGTTGTCGTTATACTTGGCCGCAGCGCCCAAGATTTTACAGCGAATATGTCTTTGCGGTTATGAAAAGGGCGCCACGAAGGGACGATAAACGGAGACAATGACGAATACGCTTCGTCGTCTGTGTTTATCGTCCCGTCGTTGCGCCGTTATGAACTCTTACAAACCCTCCCAACTATCGGAGCTATTGTTCTTGTGGACCGTGTCCGATGTCGGGCGGGCTTCGCTTGAAGGGACGCTAAAGGAAAGCAACAATTCATGTCCGAGCGAAAGGTCAATACCCGGGAACGTCTGAAAACACCAATATTATCAACAGCAGCACCTTACTAATCGAGAATTTGAGGTAAATGTAGGACATTATATATGCGCCACCAGAGGGACATTTTGGAATGGCCCCAATAACGCCAAGATACCCAATCGCAATTAATCACTAGTACTCAAGCTGCTTGTAATATGTATAACAAATGAGCAAAAATAACAAGCGAGCGTATCGCACCCGTAGATGCATACGGGCATGCTTCCATCGCTTCGGGGTGTTCTCGCAGCCGCCTTTGCCTTTGCTGTTCGCTGTTATTCTCTCGTATGTACAGGCGTGAGCAAAAGTGTGCAGACCACGAGATCACGTGGCCACTCACGCTGACTTGTTTGACGGGGTTACGTAGCCAAAACTACAACTGGGTGTAGCATTTTCTTTGCTCTATCGCATCCATGCAGTTTTTTTTTTTTTTTCGTTGTTGCTGCTGCAGGGCGGGAAGGGGCGCCGGGCTACATGATCGCAGGTCAATTAATGAGGCATGATTATTATTAGTCTCAATCAACACGAACTGAACCTAAATGAGCTTAGTACCAAGAAAGTAGTCTTCTTCTGGGTTTCGCCTCTCTGGGCTTATATCACCACGATTAAGCTAGCCTTATTTAGGGTAATTATGCTCGGCTAAATTGATGGACACTATGATCAAGTATACCTAATTAGCTTTGGATATATTTTCCTCGACTCATCTAAGCTTAACTTGGCTTAACGGGAAAACATCAAACTGGACTGGACTTAATTAGAATAAGCTTAATTTTACGTACTTTTTCTTGGCTTTATAAAGTGACGCCATGCATTCAAAACCAGGTTTCATTAGTTTTGTCTACACTTTCCTTTATTCATATGATATATAAGGAGATGTGTGCGCACAATTGTAGCGCCGGCTACTCCTTAGCCCTTGAATGAAACTTGAACACGTATCTTAAAGTAAGACATACAAAGCAGTGCACGGAATATAGAACACTCGGGCACACATATGCAACAATGCTCTGATACGCACATATCACAACAAAATGGTAAGGAAATGT